CCCCCGCCGTTATGTAACGGTTGATAAATGCCTTTTGTTATGCAAGACAAGTGGGAGAAAAATAAGCATCTTTGCCCTTTGTGGGAAGGGAACGGCAGTCGGCTCCCTGCTAGAGCATAAACAACAGGCTGCGGATCCGGCGGGGGATCGGCACGCTCCTCGCAACAGAAATAGATTATTTGGAAATGCCTCATTATTTAGATGAGTGAGCATAAAAATACAGAATCGATACGTACTTAGTAAGCGGCTGAGGTTATCAGCATGGTAATCTGATAATTTTGTGAGCTTTGTTAAAGGAGAGAGACTAGCGAGCAGCCGCCTGCTAGCCCTGTTTACCAGTCGTCTTAAAATTGGGGATCTATGTCCCCATCCCTTACATTTGGGCTTTTAGGCTTTTATTATTATTTAAAAAGCCCACAACCACATTTGAATTTAAATACTAGTCCCAATTCTCTGGTTTTAGACTTACTGAAAATACCAGAGCAGACCCACTTCTCAGCTTAGAGCTAGAACAGAGCATCATTTTCCTTTGCAATCTGCTGGCTCCCGTATGCTGCCGAAAGCTGTAGAAATCAGCCCCACGTCTCACTCAGAGAGTAAAGAAATAAATCTTCTGGGCTATCTGAGGCTCTGGAAGATTTTTTTTTTTTTTTTTTAAAAAAAAAAGAGTAGTCAAGCAGCGTGACCACTGGCAACGTGAAAATTATTTTCTCTGGGATTGCTTAGCAGGGTGCGCAGCCCATCCGGCTCCGTGGTAGCATCCCACCACCCTTGGGATGCTCAGCGCAGGGACCCATCGCCACCCTCCCGGTGCGCAGGGAGCCGTAAAGCGACAGTGACATCCAGTGGCAGCACGCACCCCTCCGCAGCACCCCCCGCCCGTGGCAGTGGGGCTGAGCAGCACCCACGTCCCACTGCACACGCTCGTGTTCAAACGCAGCCAAACGGCACCAGCAGCAACCAGCCATCTCCCCAAAGCGCCTGAAAAACCACAGTCCTCTCACTAGTGTCCTGAGAAGGGTTCTTAGAATCATAGAATAGAATCATCGAATCGTTTAGGTTGGAAAAGACCTTTAAGATCACCCAGTCCAACCATTAACCTAACATTACCAACTCCACCACTAAACCAATTAAGGGAAGAGGAATAATTTCATGTTTCCTGGCTTGCTGGCTGGATTATTTATAATGAAAGTAAAAACTAGGGATCATTAAGGTTGGAGAGGAGCTCTAAGATCATCAGTCCAACCATCAACCCAACACCCCCGTGCCACTAAACCATGTCCCCAAGTGCCACCTCTGCCCGTTTTCTGAACACTTCCAGGGATGGCGACTCCCCCACCTCTCTGGGCAGCCTGTTCCAATGCTTGACTACCCTTTCCGTGAAGAAATTTTTCCTAATATCCAATCTAAACCTCCCCTGGCGCAGCTTGAGCCCATTTCCTCTCGTCCTATCGCTGGTTACTTGTGAGAAGAGACCAACACCCACCTCACTACCCCCTCCTTTCAGGTAGTTGTAGGGAGCGATAAGGTCTCCCCTCAGCCTCCTCTTCTCCAGACTAAACCACCCCAGTCCCCTCAGCTGCTTTAAAACACAGATTTTAGGGCTTGGGTAGACTGGGCTGGGTGAGCCAGGCTGTGCAAATAACCGGGCTGGGCGTCCACACAGGGAAACTGAGGCTGTGCAGAAAACGGGGCTTTGCGCAGGTCAGCAGGACTCGCTGCTGGGTGGGATGGAGCCTCGGAGCTCAGCTGCGAGGAACAAGCGCTTCGCAGGGCAGGATTTGCGCAGACGATACAGGCTTTTCACAGCTCGTTGCTGCTGCCACCCAACAGGGCCACGGTTAAGCAAGAGTTATTGCCCAAGCATGAGTCAGTGTGGTGTTTGCTCATATAAATGTTTTTTTGTTTTGTTTTGTTTTGTTTTTTGTTCTTTAAAGCAATTATGCTGTCCTTCAGAAAACCCAGATGCAGTTCCAGGACTACAAAGAAAAGAAACTGAAGCAGCTTTACATCAGTTGGGGTCTCCGCAGAGGTACAAGGGACCTGCAGGAACACCCGGGTCAAAGAGACACCACCGACACACCCGCAAAATCACCGCCCAGCAGCGAGAATGACAGATGAGAGGTACTCGCATCGCAGGTGTCGTATCGGCACTGAGCAGGAAAAGCATTTTCCTGCTCAAGTAGAGACATCTACACTTGGCGTTTTTGCAAAAGGATCAGCAGGTGAAGGCGCAATCAGTGGTAGAGCTAGAGGAGTTGGGCGGGCGGAACCGCCGTCTCAGAAAAGACATGGGTGTCGGAGAAACAGCCGCAAGAGAAGCCACTGTAGCATAAGGCAGTAGTAAGGAAGGAGAAGATATCCCTTTGTCGGCCCACGTCAGTTGGCATTAATTAGCGTGTATTTACATAGCAATCTGGACGCTCAAAACATACTTGTGGTTTGCCTTTGGGCCCACCCGAGCAAAGCCGCACGCACTCGTCTTCTGGAGCAAAAATGCAGACCAACCTGTAGCAGGCGTGTTTGCTGGCCAGAGTCACCGGCAGCCTGTTTACTCCAGCCAGAACTCTGACATAAGCAAACCCCGAAGGAGGAACGAAAAAGGGACATCAGAAGCAATCGCTGCTGAGATCGGCTTTGCCACAAACAGGTGCCATAGGCTGCCTGCGGAAGGAGGATTTGTCCCACATAAGCCTATTTTCAAGCTGCTAAAATGCAATCACATGTCCTGTGGGAGTTCTCATGCACTCATAACCATCTTGCTTTTCATCTCTTTTCTCCCCAGTCTCTCTGTTTACCTCTAAAAAAGTCCAATCTGGTATGTAACAGCTCTGAGGGAGCACTTAAAATCCAAATTGATAAACTAAAAGTCAAAAAACAAGAGCTAGCTAGACAGCGTGATCCGGGAGGCTGAGTAGGAGTCCCACGCTAACCTGCCGGCTGCGCGGCTCCTGGCAATCCTCCTCCGCCTGTCTGCTCCCCTCTAAGAATGGGGAAAATATCACCCAACCAATTCCTACGTAGATAAATGCCCCAGAGACACAAAGCGCACGAAACACTAAAAATTAGTGCAACCGAAACGTAACGAACGTAGCAGGGGTTTGGGATTGCTGGTTGCTTGAGCGCCTGGGTGACGAGCCACCATGAGCAGCCTGGTGTTCCCGTAGATCTCTGGTGACAACGTATTTGTGGAATTGCGCCACACACAGAATCCGGCCGGTAAAGCCCCCAGAGAACAGCCTGGGCACACCCGTATCAGCTCCTGTAGGAGATGCAGCTTCTCAGAGGAGTTACGCCTTCCACTGACCGTGGGGTTTTTATTTTTGTTTTTAAGGTTCTCACAGACAACTTCAGAGGTCAACAGAGAGCCAGAAATCAGTTAATACAGTATCGTCACCTGAACAAAAAGCAGGGAATAAAAGACAGTCTTCATGGTTTCCCCAAACCACAAAATACTGAAATACTTGCAGCGTCATAGCAACAAGCTTCGAGCCAAGCCAAATGAAAGTTATGCTATTTTAAACCCTGTGATCTTATTTATTATTATCCTGGAGTTTCCAAACAGCGGTGCACCAGCATCGAGACTTGATGAAGGAAGTGTAAGTACCAGACCTACCTTTACTACATCATTTTTTTTGTATAAACCCCCATAAGGGACGAGCGGCGTCGGCAAGGAGGCGGGCAGCTGCTCCCTTCCCTGCTATGACAGAAACCCTCTCCTGACGAACGCCGGGTCTGTTCCCCGTTCACGTCTGCTCAAACATACACACACAACCCCTCCACGTGGTCAGCAGCCGGACCGACCGGGGAAGAGAGACCAAAAGAGGAAGGGAAGAAACCAGTGCACAGAGTATATTCTGGTAAAAAAAAAAGTTTCATAACTTTTACACCTACACTTGCCATTTCTAACTGTTTTAGGCAAATAATGGCCATGAGCCGATACACACATCGGTGTTCTTGGCAGATGCAGCAGCTGCCCATCCATTGATCCAGAGCGAGATGGCTGTAGCCCTGTTCGACTGCCTCCGCAGGAAGAGGCTCACCTGAGAGCTAACGCTTCAGGATAGAAATGGTGAGAGGAGGAAATAGTAACAAACGGGCTGGTTTGTGCTTTAGGGTTGGCTAGATTTGATTTACGGTGGAATCCAGGCTTTAAGAGAACATCAGAAACATCAGTCGCTTGGCACAGAAATCTTTTAGTCTGACCGGTAAAAACCCAAAGATCCTTCTTTCCTACGTGCTAAAAATCAGATGGTGGGGTAGGGGGCTTGGTTATTGTCTTCAGATCTGAACCCAAGCAAGAAAAATCCCTCCCTAAATCCCTCTGGCAGGGCAGATAACACAGGCCATTTTTAGAATCAAGACAACAGATCTCCCTTTTAAATGGCATCTTGGATCACATCCACAGACTTTGGCAAGGGACTGAAGTCCCCGGCTGCGCTGCCCGCGGAGGCACCGCTGCCGATCGCACGCAGAAAATCGTTTGCGAGAGATTGCGAAGGAGGACGTCGCGCGTTGCCTTCGCCGGGCAACCGATTCGGCTTCTTGCACTGGGTTTCATTGCGCGTAAGAGCAGACGCTTGTGTGGTGCAGACCTGGTTCGGCAGCAGAACACGAGGAATTTTCTTAGAATAGAACGTTCTCTTTCTGCTAAAGGTTTTAAGCTTTCTCCATAGCACACGCTCTAGAAACCAAATGTAGTAGCGCATGTAGCCGCATCAGAAAAATACCGTATGCCCTCAAAATGTCACACTTGTTTAAGACAGAACTGAGCAAGATTAAAGCCTGCTCAAGACTTGGATTATTCCACAATTTTTGCAGTAGGACTTGAGGTCACTTAGAAGTGACAGGAGAGCTCTCAAGGAAAACCGCGCTCTGCCAGAAATAACCTCACAGCTTCCTGACCAGATGATGCAGGCAAGGAGAAAAGATTTCACCTTCGGAGGTCCCTGCTCTAAATGTATGATGAGAAAGCCTTTGGTAGAAAGTACAGGATGCATCAGTGCCACTCATGCGACGTTACAGGGACTGCTTTTTCCTGCTGTTTAATTTTGGAAGCTGGCGGGCAGCGGTGCTACCACAGCAGACTTGCACAACTACACAGCTTGTAGCGCTCAATGCGTATTTCCTAACTCGGGCTGTTTGTTCTTTTCAATTTAAATGGAGCATCAGGGAATTCATGGAAGTGTTGCACAACCTTGGCTTTGGCTCTTAAGGAAAGTAAGATTTTCATGCACTTTATAAAGCGTCAATGTGTAATGTAGAACCAAAGGGAAAAAAACAAAAGACACAAAACCCCGTTTACCCCCAAACCTGAAGAGACGCAAGCAGAGACCACTATTGACAGTGAAGTTCGGGATGGTAAAGCACGCATTTTGTGCCACAGAAAGCAGAAACTTTGTTCAGTGGGAAACAAAAGATGTCAGGAATAAGCAGAACCTGTGCCGCCCGCAGCCGCGATGCCTCGTGGCAGCCGGCTACCCTGGGACGGCCACCCCCAGGACAGGGGCCATCCCCGTCAGAGACGCGCTCGACTTTCTGCCAGCCAGAAAGAGCTCCCCGTGCTTCAGAAAGTCCAAGGGAGCGTTTCTTTTGATGCTTAAAAAACCCCAAACCACCCACAAACAAGCCAGCCTCCCCCCAGCAGCTCGCCTCGAGCCAGTTCTAGGGGAACCGTGGTCACATTTTGTCAGCACGAGGAAGAGCGCGATCCTTGCCGATGTCAGGGGTTTGGGCTTTGCTCAGACTAACCAGGGGAAGAAAGTCATTCCTGGGAGGCAGCTTTTACCCAGCTTGATCTGTTATCTCCTCAGAAATCAGCAATACAGCCTCATACCTCTGTTTTCAACACCAGGTTGCCTTTACCTGAGCAGGAACAGTTGGGGTTTTGTTGAATTCTTCCTTCATAGCAGCTGAAGCAAATAGACTTTTAACCGATTCCACTGTTGTTGGTTTGTGCTTGGTAGTTTGGCTTCAGCGCTCCCAAAAGGTCAACGTTTCCCTGGGGAAAAGGGAAAGAATTGAGAAAGCTGCAGGAACACACGCAGACGCCCGGGGACTTGCATTTCACCCATTTAAATTTGCACGGCTACGACCTATCGGGCTGCACAACCGCAACGGGCGCTGCCCCAGCCCTGCCGACTCCAGCCTCGCCGCCTCTGGAGTCATCCTTGTTTTACAAAAGGTGAACCTGGCACAGGTGCCTTACCTGGGTTCCTTGGGGTGCGGCACCTTTCAGTTGCACCCGGCCTCCTAACAGCCGGAGCAGCGCTGGAAGGCGTTTTTCCTTCGAAAACTGAAGTTGCAGGCGTATGAATCGAGGAGAGACCTCTGCCTGAGCCCAGCGCACAGCTGGAGGTTTGTAGGTCATTTACAGGCAAACCGAAGACAAATGAGTCAGAAACCTGATGGTTTAAAAAGAAAAAGCGCCTGGAAATGCTCATTTCCAACCTTCCCTGTGCGCAGGCAGGCAACGCGAGACGCTTTTGTGCTGTGACTGCTCGCTCGCACGAGAGACTTTGTGTTCCCGTGGCTACTTTAGGGGAAAAAAGACCCAACAAGCAGGGAAGGACGCAGGTCAGAGCTAACGAGGGCTCCCGCCCTCCCCTGGTTCACACATCCCAGGTACCGGCAGGCTCAGTCAGCGCTGCGGCTCACGCCACCATCCGGAGCGATTTGGCTGTGAAGGCCGCCGTTAACATCCTCACTTTGTACCCACAAGAGCATCCGAGTATGAGGATTACAGCAAATACCCAGATGAACATGGAGCAACTGGTACGCGTAAGGTGTCAAAGGTAAGAGCCTTCGGAGCGCCATTAAGAACCAGAAACAGCTTGGTTGTGCCATTTGCTTTCTCCCAGGAATGCTCTCAGACATTCCAGTGAAACGTGGAGGCTTGGGAGAAGGGTTTCCCTGGATCTGGACAGCAGCACAAGGCACAAGAACGGCCACCCCCCCCAAGGTCTCATCACAGACCTGCTCCGCAGAGCGGACAACCGTACCCACCCGCTCCTGAACGCCGGGAACAAACGCGCCGGCTCCGTCCCCCCAGGGCGGCTGGGGTGCAGCCCCCTCCCAGGAGCTTTTACGTAGCTGGAGCTTGGAGGGAGCCGCACGGCTCT